CATCGACTATTTTCATATTACTACTATCTGTTCTATCTGTTTGAAAAGTTTAATCTATTGTTACACAGTTTTAATCTATTTTTGCAGGCAATCAAAACAAAAGGACGCTAAGGATATTGCGTACCTCTCGTTCTATCTTTCGCCGAAGAGCAAAGTTGAGGCTTTCCTGGTGGCTGTATCCCACACTTGCGTTGTAAGTACAAGTTTTTATACAAAAAAAAAAACACAAACAATTTTATTACGCCAATCTCTTACACTATACATAACCACTGTTTGGGCTCAGACATTAATTTCTTGTATCTTATACTTATTCTCATATAATTTTACAATTTCACATAATCAGTTTTCTTATCTTTTGGTGACGTTTACCTTGTCCATGTTAAGGCGGAGTACGAGCATGCGGTGTGGATGTACCGGTACGCGCTGGCGCACGACGCGCGCTACTTGCCGGCCAAGGCGTGTCTGCACGCGACCGTCTGCCTCATGCTCTATGGCGACAATGCCAAAGAGTATAAACTTCATACCAAAGAGTAAACATGTTGTGCCATTGAAGAGTTCGTGTAGTTTGAAAGACAGATAAAAATATTTTAATCTTTGTCTATTACAAACTGGAACAACAATGATGTGAAGATATTCAGATGCAATAACCGATATTCGATGTAATTAAAATCGATATTTAACGGTTTTGGATCTTTTTATTGGTTATTGTCTTAGCCGAAACGATTCTAATGAAAATTTAGTTGATGTGATTTTGACAAAATGTAATTAAAGTTACATGAATTTTTATTTTTCTTTCAAATTGGCACGAACTTTTCAGTTTACCATACATGTAGTCATCACAATTTACCTTTTTAAACTTCATCCAACTGTTAGATTAAGGAAGAATAAGTACAATGTTTTCCTCATAGTTTTTAATTATATGATTATTCAATTATTCCTGATAATACTACAAATCTTCATAAGATTTACTTCCAATGTGCAGGCGTTGTAATGCAATCATCGTCATTGTTTTTGTTATTTTTATAACATAATTTTGTTGTAATTACATTGTACAGAAGTACTTTTGTACTTCAGCAACAGTATAACTAACAATATTAAAATTATTATATTTAGAAGTACTTTTGTACTCCTGTACATAATAATTTTACTATTGTACCTTTGTGATATATTTTTTTAATACATAGGAATATGTATTTCTTTTTAAATCATTTGACATTTAATGTAGGACTTGTCAAACGTAATTATTTCAAGCAATGTGGATAATGGTTTTACAATTTTTATACTGCACATCTAAAATACACATTACTGTCTACGTAATAATACTCAAATCAGCTTGAATATGTAATCACTTAATATAATAATTTATCACATAGTAAATAGGAATCGATGTTTGTTACCCTAAAAGCCGATACACGCCTTCATTAAAGACCTCTAAGTTTTAACTGTACAGTCAGACTCATAAATACGGAATCATTAACAGAACTATAAACATGTAGCTGCCTATTATTAAAAAAAAAAAGATTAATGCCCGTACTCTTCATTGGACATATCCATATTGGAAAAGCAAGAAAATTCGAACATTATCTGATTCAAAGCATATTTTTAAAACCGAAGCCGTATATTAATTTCTGAAGCTTTCGTCGCATCCATATTTATGCAGCTGACTGTACTTATATCGTACGAGTGTAGGAAAAAAGTTGAGGGCTTATTATGTCTGCATGAGAACGTTTTCGTAACCTCCATAAAATTTGTATAAAACAAATCGCATATGTCGATGACGTGTTTCATACGTCATCGATGTTATTCTATTCATGATAGACCCTCTACTAATAATTCTCAGTTAAAATGAGTTAAAACCGATGTGTACCAGGCTTAATAGATATATTGAAATCTCTACAACTGAATGTCATAGTAATTAGTGTGATTTCGAATTTGTATTTTTTTTCGAACGATGTAATCTCATATATGAATGATCAAATTAAAGGACTTCAACATAAACCGCCTCTTATCTTGCCTTTATAAAGAATTCGTCATATTCTTTGTTCGAAAAACGTGTAACTTTTTTTAAGCTGTATGTTTTGTACAATTTTTTTGGCTGTTTACAAACCTGTTATTTTTATAACCGAATCTTGCCTAAGACTGATGTTCCTTTTTTTTTTGGTTATGTAATATAACCCATTTTTTTATTGAATTTTGTTGTTTTATTTTGTCCTTTTGATTTCTTTTACTACCTTATAGAGAAGTTTTTTTTTTTTAATTTATAAACAGAGTACGGCAAGTTACTGTTCTTTTATACATTTAGTCTTTGACCCTTAATAAAACAAGAGTTTTTTTTAGGTAATTGAAAACAGGTGACGGTTTGCAGGTAAAAGGGTTCTGTAGACTTGGAATATTTTTTTATTAAGGAGGATTTTGTACTGACGTTTGTTAAACTTACATAAACATAGAAGATGGCATAAAGGCGGGACGCCCACCATGAAGTTAATTTATTAGTCTATAGCTTTCGGCCGTTACTCCGTCCGCGTGGGATAAAAAAACTAAAGTGAGTAAGCGTATGTTCTTGCAGACTATCCTCTACATCTTTACCAAATTTTATTGAAATCGGTTCAGCCGTTTAGTCTATAAACTCTAACAAACATCCATCCATCCTTCTAAACTGTCGCATTTGTAATATTGGTAAGAAGTAAGATAAAAGTGTAGAATTTAAAGGTGTGATAATAAAACTAGCAAGGAATCTATCAAGTTTTCATTTATTTACAAACCTGAAAAATACAATGAAACAAAGGCATGTAAGATTTATTTCACGACATAAAAACAATTAAACAGATAATATAATCTTTGACGTAAATTCCATAGACAGCTGTGTTCAGTGTTGCCATTTCATATCTTCGTCTGCGTGTCGATATTGAAGCACCCACAATAACTATTGGAACACGCACAAGAGTATATTTCGGTTACTAGTCCTGTGCAGTGACCAATAGTTGTTTTGGGCTTCCTTTTCTTTCCCGTTGGCTTCTGCCGCACCTATCTGTAAGGAATATTAAAGTCGACATTGAAACTAATTTATGGTATGTTCGCTTCAGTTTTTTCATAGATAAAAAAAGGAATGATTTAATGTTGCGTTAACAGAAAAAACTTTTTTAACAAACGAGTAAAAGATATCTTTAACTTTGACGCCCACTAAATTTCTCACATTTCTCTCTATCTCACATTAAAAGTGTGAGAAAGAGAGAGAGTAAAAGGTAATTTATAATTGAATATCTATACTAATATAAAGGGGATTTTCTACTTAAAAATTACTGCATCAATTTCAAAAAATATTTCCAGTTCGCGATTAGAAAGCTACTGCTATTTTTTAAATTCCGCGCGTACGAAGTCGCGGGTATGAGCTAATAAGGCATATTTATGACGACCCTTCTTTCTCTGTGTTTATTAAAGCATATTAGAACGCGAATTTAAAACGTCAACATACTTTCCATAGTAAATATTTGAATTATTAATATATAGATAAGTAATCAGAGAACATAACATCTTCATATTCAATTTACATGTTAATATTAAAGCTAAATACAGTTACAGTTTTCAAAAACATATACAAATACAAAAATTATTGTACACAAAGCTAATAAATAAAACATGGACAAATGATGTCCAAAACATTTGTTTCTAATAACATTTTGGCCATTCAACTCTTTTTTTTTAATTGACAGTCACTGATATCTATAAATGGACAGGTTATCTCTGCTTATAGCCTATCCATGTATTGTAATCAATGCTTTTAATGTACGAAATCAATTCAACCATGGGTTTCCATTGTCGAAAATCTGTACAAAATATGTAACATTTTAAGAGAAAAGAGATAGGAATATTTGTACAAGTCTCGGCAATAATAACCATTTACATATCGAATCAAATATCAAGAGCTGGTAACTCGCTTTTAACTTTACATAGAATCTTTTGATATTGGTTCAAAGTTAATTACATATGTAAAAATCTTTAATTACAACATTATAAACGTATTAAATACTTTAAAAATATATTAAAAAATAAACTTAAATAAGAAAAGTTCTTCCGTAGAGTGTAGTTGTAGATGTTTGTAGATCTTCGCTCTGTAGTGAATGAAAATCCCGCAATAGCCGCTGTCACACGCACAAGAGTATAGACATTACTAATCTTGTGCAGTGGCCAGCAGCTGCTTTGGGCTTCATTTAATTTATCCCCAGTTTCATTTATTTTGTCCTGATTTGAGACAATATCCTGCGTTGAACTCTATTGTACGGCGGTAACATGCGACACAGAAATAAACAAAAAAGACCTTCGTAGAACATCTATAAGCTTTAACAATATTTTATAGACATTCTGTCACTTTTTTATCTACTACAAAAGAGGTTCTACGAAAATCGTTTTAATAACAAAACAAAAAAGATAATTCAAAGCTTACAAAAATTATTTAATTTAAACACAATAGAATTTATTTACATTAATAAAATAAATTAAAATACGTCAATAAAATAATTTTACTGCTTTATATGATAAATAAAATGTCCCTGTTCATCCCCACTCTATATGGAAGGTGATACTTTTTTTTGTATTTTGCAACCTTAGATATGGTTCTAACTGGATGGATGTGTAAGGTGGAAGGGCTTATAAAAAGCCTGGCATATCAGATGGCGCGGCGGGAAGCCCCACGATATCGGACTTGGAAACCATACTAAGGGCTTAAGGCTTAAATACACTACGTAAGTAAGGGTTGCATAGAATTTAACGGTTTTCATTTTTTTAACTTAAAAAGTCCAAATAGTTTACTTTATAAAATTACACTTTAGTGTTGTTTAATTTACCTTTAAAAATGTAAATGAAGTAACTAAGTTTTTTAAATTTGTTCTCACTTAACACTTCAATAATAAAAGTTAAAGTACAGAAATAATAGATACAGTAATCGATATAAAAAAAACTAAAAAATGGGTATTTAAAATAAAATTATATAAAACAAAGTAAAGCAAGTTAAATAATAAAATACTTACTTGCAGAAACTTAAACAACACAAATGAAAGCAAAATGAAAATCTAACAAACGCCAACACTATCAGCTGATTGTAGCTTTTCTACAAAAAAAACTAGGGAACGAGACGTGCTCACACGGGGTGAGTTGGGGTGCGAATGGACACTAGGCGGTTCACACACCTCTACTAACATATTACTTACCGCGCTGGATTATGTCCTGTAGACTTACTTAATTTCCCAGGCGTAATTCACAAGCGGAGCGATTTTGTTATATCCAATAGTAAAAAAATAAACTTACATGAAAATAACTGGGAAACAATAACTAAGACTATGAAAAGTATGGCATGAATAAGGCATGCAAATAATTTTAATAATAGGTAAGACCTAATTTCATGTATCAAGCCTACAAGCAAGGTTTTCACTAGAAAAATTTGCTATTTACAATTTATAGTAGTTACTGTTCAACGTTGACTTTTTTAACCTGAAAAAAAAAGAAGATTGTCTATTATTAATTATTAAGTAAATCAAATATAAACTGATTTAGTTTTTTCTTTATTCTGCTTGAAAATATTTTTTCAATTATCTAATTATGCTTGTACCACGCGTTAAAAATTTCATCAGACATGCTGTCTCTTTCTGCTTAACCTTTTTATTCACTTACGTAATAAATACATAAGTGGTAAATTAATTAAATTGTACAGATTTAAGATTTAAATACAATCAATTGTTCAAAATTAACAACTCTTATGGTTTCATGTAGATTATTTATTTTTAAAAGGTTGTAGCCAGCGGCCCTGTATAGAAATACCTATGATACGCTTTGTCTAGCGACAATTGAAGTCCTGACTATACTATGTTTTTCTATAAAGGCCCGCAATGCATCGGTAGTTCCCACAATGTAGAAAATGTAGTCGATGATCACCAGAGTGTTCCAAAAGCTCGTTTGCCCTCGTCTCAAAAAAAAACCAATCACGCGCCACCTTTTGGTCTTGGTCTCTCACAGGTCTCTACCTTATTTATCCAGCTATTTAAGTCTTCAACTACAGTTAATTTTTTATTTTTGACATCTAAAATAGATTAAATCGATCTATACATATATATAAAGTATTCCAATAGGCTGAAATGGTATGTAGTGAGGACGTGCGGAAG